ACTTTAAGACAAAGATTTGAAACATAAAACATTGTCTTGAGAGTATAAGACAGCCATTCTGCTCAGGCCCTTAGACTAACGCAACATGTAATCCTGAAAACGCATTCGCTAAGCCCGCTCCAACGACCGGCTTCTGCTTTCGGCGCAAACGCTGTCCGAGTCGCCCGACAAATAAAGGTTCAAGACACGAGCTCGCGAGCTCGCGGATTATATCACAGCGAACGTAAGGAGCTCAGCGTTATTCGATCGTATTCCCAGTATTGCGGAGGCACGCTATTGTTTATAGCTGGCGACGCGTTAATCAGCGAGCGGGCTGAAAACAGTGGGCGACGCGCCCGATATACGCGCGCGATGCACCAAAATAATCAGTCGCTCGGCCGACGGAAGCTCGGCCGAAGGAGAGGAGAGAGACGGGCGCGGCGGGAGAAAGAGAGATGAAAGATAGCAGGCATCTACGTACCTATAAACACGCGCGGCGCGCACAAACACGCACGCATACGCGGCGAAGGGAGTAGAGAGAGAGAGAGAGAGAGAAGGATCGAACGAACAGCCAGCAGCAGCAGCAGACACGGCCGTCGGTCGCGTAACCGCGGTACAACGACCCCCGTCGAGGCTCTCCTCCGCTCGTCGTGCTCTCGTCGGCTTCGCGCCAATTACGATGCTCTCCTCGGGGCGGGAAACGCGATCATCGCGGAGCGGGCGAAATCGAGTTACGAATCGAGAGCGAGTCGCAAGTGCGAGGAGGAACACGGGCGCCGGGCCGAGCGGCGAGAGGGGGGGGACAAGAGAAAAAGTCGCTCGCGTTCGCGGAATCGCGCGCGGCCTGCGACCGGTGTTTTTGTTTTGTTGTCGTAGCTGCCTCGCGCGCGCGAGAAAGACTCTTTGTTTACAAGTGCCGCTGCTCTCGCTCCCCCCCCCACCCGGAGCTGCTAGTATTATGCTCCTTTTTTCTCCTCTCCCGGCGTCAAAACGGAATTCGTTGCGCGTTCCGATATGGAGATAACCGCCGCGAATTCCGGGGTACCGCGAGATACATTATTCATCCGTGCGATCGACGATTCGGAATCGCGGATTCGTGCGTTCCCGATTCGCGAGAATCTATTAGACCTACGCCGTGCCCTCCGTTTCTCTCTCTCTCTCTCTCTCTGCTTGAATCTCTCCCCTTTTCTCCCTCTCTCGCCCTCCCGCCTCTCCCCGCCGCCCCCCGCGCGCCACTCTCCTCCCTATCGTCTCACTCACTCACCTGTCAGAGCTCTCGGAGCTGTCGTATCGATCCGCGCACCGCTTCTTGCCGCAGGGTCCGACGAGGGTGTCCTCGGCCATCCTAACCTGTCCCTTGAACGGGCCGCCCTGGTGCCTGGGTGCCACGGCGACGCCGCTGCCGGCGCCGTCAAGCGTCTTGGCGGACGCGGCCGCGTCCTCGCTCGGTCTCGCGCCCTCCTCCCGCGACGGCGCGACGGCGATGCTCGCTCCTCTCCGCCTGCCGTCCCCGCGGTCGTTCACTTCCGGTGCACTGTCCGCGCTCGGCGCCGAGCGTCGCGACGACGCGGAGTCGTCGGCCGGCCCGTCGGCGTCCTCGACGCCGACGCGCGTCGCCGCGCTGCCGTTATTATTATTATTACCACCGGTCATCATTTCCGCGACACCACCAGCACCACTTTTACTACTATTAATACTATTGCTGCCACCACTATCACCGTCGCAGTCACTGTCGGTGCCGCCGACGCTGCCGCTGCCACTACTACCACTGCCGTCGTCGTCGCGCTCGTCCGCCACCGCGACGCTTCGGACTATCTCGATTCTAACATCGCCGTGGTACGGACCGACACTGCCACTGCCATTGCCGTTGCCGTCGCCGTCGGCGCCGACGCCGACGCTAGCGCAGGGCGCTCCGAAACCGATGCCGTCGCCGCTCTCCTCCTCCTCCTCCTCGTTGCCGCCGCCGTCACCGCCGCCACCACCGCCGTCGTCGTCGTCGCCGTCGCTCGCGGCTGGCTCGGTCGTGCCGACGGGCGACGGCGAATCACCACTGCCGCGATCGCTCGTCGGACGATGGCGATGAGAAATGAAGTGGCGATAATAATGATGAGGCGCTGGATGACGGTGATAAGAATGACGAGGATAAGGCTGCTGCTGCTGCTGCTGCTGATGATGACGATGATGGACGCGGCGCTCGTTGTGAGGACGATGATGCTCGTCCGCCGTGCTCGTCGCCTCGCACGAAGACGCGCCACTGGCAGAGGCGTCCTCGTGTCCGCCGACGCGCCTCGCGGATGAGGAGGCGTCCTGAGCCGACGGGACGCACGGCCCCGGAGTGACGATCGGCGTGGCGGCGTCCGCGCGTTTGTGCCGCTCCCTCGTCACGCGAGAATCACCGTCCCCCGGTCCCGTCGCCACCGCCGCGATCGCGTCCTCCGCCGCGGACGGGCCGTCGTCTGCCATCTTGTAAACGAACGCGCGCGCTACAGTGATCGTGTGTCGTGTCGGTGTCGTGTCGCGTCCGGCAGTGGCCCCTATGGCACACACGAGCAGCACGGGCCGCGGCGGCTGCTCCTCGCGCTACGATCCGCCAGCGCACACAATTCTCGGCCTCGGTTCCGCTCGGCTCGCCTCGCGCCCGCGAGCCCCTCTCGAATTCCCACTCCGACCGACCTCGCCAGACTCCGCGACTGAACGCGCTACGCGCCACGGCGCAGCGTCGGCCGCGCCGGCCCGCTGCTGCGGCCCGAGCAAGCCCGAACAGGCCCGACGCCGCCCGACCGCCGACGAACGCGAGCGAGCGCCCGAGCGGAGCGAGTCGGTTCAGTCGTTCGTTGCCCACCGCGCCCTCGTACGATGCTCGTCAAGCTGCGCGACGCTCGCTCGGTTACAACAGCAGCCTAACCTACCGACTTGCAAGATCGATAATGTTGAATATGCGCGCGCGCCGTCCACCGAAGTATCTATGGTATGTATAAATATCCTTCTCCTTTTATTTTATTTGCCATTTCTTTCAGCAGTTGAGATCAATCATATCGATAGAATAACGGTTTCGATAATTACATTGTTTAATTAGAGAGATAAAATTTTGCTTCTTGTGACCTTCCGTTGCAATTTCAACGACGTTGAGACACGATTGCGCGATAATAACGCGAGATCTTGCGGTACGTTTACCAGTCTACTTTTCGAGTTTGAATGCACAGCTTGCTCGAGGGTAGAGACGATCGTAGAAAAATGAGGTGGCCTATGTTTCTCTTTCGCTCGCAGAAATTTGCTCTCTTAAGCCCGTGTCACACTAACGTATTGTGGATCGCGAGTCGAATTGAGATTGAGGGTCGCGGATCGCATTTCAGACGAGACAGCCTCGTATCCGATTGGTTGAATTGCGCTCCGCAATTTCAATCCGATCCGTGATCCACTGGCTTTACAGCCGGCCTTCACACACAAAATTCCGTAAGGACGTAAAACGTAAGCGTAAAGCCCGTATCAGACTACGGATTGGGATTGGGATTAGATTGAAATTTAACCAATCGCAGTAAAGTTTACTAATCTCAAGTTCAGTAACTTTTACTCTGATTGGTCAAATTTCAATCTAATCCCAATCCCAATCCGTAGTCTGATACGGGCTTAAGAAAATCAACAGATTGGATTTGCTACTGCTTGCGTTATTGCCTTACGTTCTCGACTGTGATTGGTCGATTTTCTTACGCTTACGTTTTACGTCCTTACGGAATTTTGTGTGTGATGGCCTTTACAGGGTCTCTACTCGAGAGTAAAGCCTCCGCTACAATGATTCTCGGTTCTGTCTACAATGGTCGTAGTCGTAGTCGCTCGATAAGAATTGACCAATCGCAGTCGATTATTCTTACGACTACGACCATTGTAGACAGAACCGAGAATCATTGTAGCGGAGGCTTTACTCTCGAGTAGAGACCCTGTAACCAGAGACTGGCTGTAAAGCCAGTGGGTCACGGATCGGATTGAAATTGCGAATCGCGGAGCGATCGACGTTGTCTTAAGTCGTAGACAACTTGTGAAAGGCTATTGTATACGACTTAAGTGTTTCTCTGCCTTGCCTTACGTCTACGACTTAAGACAGTCTTAAGCGCTTAAGGCCTTCACACATAAAATTCCGTAAGGACGTAAAACGTAAGCATAAGAAAATCGACCAATCACAGTCGAGAACGTAAGGCAATGACGCAAGCAGTAGCAAATCCAACCTGTTGATTTTCTTACGCTTACGTTTTACGTCCTTACGGAATTTTATGTGTGAAGGCCTTTACGGATTGTTTTCTGCCATCAGCTTAACGTATGTACAATCGGTGACATCTCCCGATGCCGCCGAGAAACACGTTCGTCGCGATATATTCGAATCGCTCCCTCGCAACACTAGACATTATATCAAAGGAATTGGCGCGCTTCATTCGCTACCTCGATCGTGCATGACGTCCCCTGCGGCATCCCAGAATTTATCTCCAACACTGTCGCTACGACCAGGGAGAGAAAAGAGGGGAGCACACACTCTTGCATAAGTGCATAAGCATGTGCATAACGAATTTGATTGGTCCATTTCCTTGTGCATTTGCTTGTAGACCAATCAGATTCGTTATGCATATGCTTATGCACTTATGCAAAAGTGTGTGGTCCCCGCTAAACTCTGGTTTCGGGAGACCGTTTCGCGCGCTCTTACGCCCATTTTTTACTTTTGGAACTACTTTACGCATTTTCTGACTCTGTCGATAAACCGTGCTTTCCAGCAAGCGACACAAGTCGACACAAGTGTCGTTCTGTCTTTATTATTCATTGAATGCGAAGAAAGACAGAACGACATTTGTGTCGACTTGTGTCGCTTGCTGGAAAGCACGGAAAATCTCCACTTGGTGCATGTCCCCAGTGAGAAATGATTCGTCGATCGATGTCGAAATGATGTCAAATCGACGTCAATTCGACGGTGTCGATGTCGATTCGACGTCGTTTCGACGTCGATCACATAAGTCGTGAACGACTTACGTTTCTCTCTGCCTTGCCCTACGTCTACGGATTGTTCTCTGCCATCAGCCTTACCAAGGCAGACTTAACGGATCGTTCTCTGCCATTAGCCTAATTCTGCTCAGTCGCGCTCTTTCCGCTCAAGAATACAATCGACACGGTTGTCGTGTGAGCTCGTACGTCGAATTCTCCGTAGAACAACGTTGAAAGGCTCCGAGTTGCGAAAAGTAAAAATGGCGGGAAAGTAGCCGCGGGAAGCGTCGAGAAATGGGTCGGGCGAGCATCGTATTACACGGATATACAGTTTATCGTTTACGGTTTTCTCATCAAATGCGCTTTGTGCGATCATAGTTACCACTTGTATGATATCATTTCCATATATTAACTCAATTAAGTCTTCGAGGTATTTTAGCGAACGTTGGAAATGCCTCTGTAACGTTTCACTCGCGTTTCACACGACAGTCAAATAGCTCTTATTTCTTTCGTAATATTTATTACGTTTTTATTTAAAAAAATTGCCGTATTTACCGACTATACACCCTCAGAAAGAATTTCCGTTACGGAGACAAAAAATATTCCTGACGCATTTATATTTCTCTCACAATTTAGCATAAAAATAAGACAATATCAAAGTAAAATTAATAATTCTTATTCTCCTCTGCCGAGTTCAAAAAGATTGACTTACTCTATTGAGACAAGAGTAACTTGTACAAATGTAAGTTAATATATTCCTGCGTTTAGAATAAATTTTCCCTCCATCTTACAACGCACGAAGTTGGCATCGCGATATTCGACAAAAGACGATACGTACTATCATTTTATTCTAGATTTGAGAAGTGTTCATTTAAGATTCAAATATCACTTCCTCTATAATAAATATGATTGGCGCCATATCGATCCTACTTTATGGTATGTACATTGAAGTGTAATTGAATCCGGAAATTTTTTCTGTGGGTGTACGCAAGATTTGGCGTGGCACTTAAGATCGACTTAAACTAAAAAGGGTCGACACGTAAAACTTAAAGAATGGGCACTTGATACTCCGCTAAAATAGAAACCAACCGCGTATCTTATTGAAAATACTTTATTTCAATAATACTGCAAAACAAACGACTCACGTAGCACCGTAACGAATCACGTACATCGTGGAATGTTAATCGAAAATGACCAGCGACAATTAAATCGTTTAAGTACAATGAGACGCCGCGTGCGATGTCGAAATGAAACGCGAAAGTTTAAATTAGGTGGAAAAAAAATAAAAAAAAGAATACGAAATCTCTCTTAAGGTACATACATTCGAAGAATCTTTTCTCTCAAATGAATCCCAATTGTTCGTCAATCTCCGAGTTTCTCTGTCTCGAAACTGCCGTGATTTATTTAATAATATAACAATTTGATCGAGTAAAGGTTCTATTAATCTGTTAATTAGCCTTTCGCGGATTATCTTTGTTTCTTGTAAGATTACAAAAATATTTTGCACGTAGCTATTGTAGTCGAAACGAATGGCTCTATTCAAATTTATAATACGTACAAGTAAAAACTTTGTGCTCCTTTTAAAT